TTCCCATCATTTCACTTGCAAGTGCAAAACCAAATTATATCGATGCCTAGATACAAGCATCACTTAGGGAAATACAAAGTGCTATCAATGATAACGGTAATTATACAATGCCACCCCTCTCCGACCACACATACACGCTCCATTAGAGCCAACTTGCTCCTGTGTGCAGGGCTACCATTAGCTCCTCACTGGCAATGAAAAGGGTAAAGTCATGCAAACAGTAAATGCTACGTGTCACATTTAACATGGCTTAGAGTTTAGGCTAAGATGCTGCTCAACGCTGAGCAACGTTGCTGGCTGGTAAAAGCGGTGTTGTCAAAAAAAGGAAATTTGTGCCCTCTTAGTGGGAAGCAGAACCTGCAATTTTATCTCAAAGCCAGGAACAAGCGTAGTTATAAAAGTGCATTTGTAGCGTTTTGTTCTGACAGCTGTAGAGTGGGAAATGATGTGTGTTCACTGAAACACGTATCCCGGAGGAAATCAAAACAGGTTTGTTGTGCTAGCGGAAGCACAAGAACCGAATTCCGGAGATGTTTGCCTCACTTCAGCCCAGGAAATAAGATCCTTTTCCTTAACTTTGGTGACTTCTACTGTGCTTTGAGGGTTGTGAGAAGAGTAGGAATAGAAGCTCATAACTCTACTTATGAGATTTGTACACCTACCAATATACATATCTTCTATTCAGATCTCAACATACGATTCTGCTGTGGCTGGTTTGGGGTTTTTGGGTGGTTGGCCGGGGTTTTTTGCTCAGGGAGTATGGATGAACTCTCCATTTGTCAGAGAACACTTCCAGTTTGGTTCTTACCATTTAGAGGGCAAGTATGCACGTAGAAAAAAATCCTGTTACTGCTTTCTCCTTCCTCATATGCCTCTTACCCTTATTCTGCCACCCTGCCTCTTTCTTTCCTCTCATTATTGTACCATCTTCATTCAAACACAACACCATGGCCATCTGAGGGATCAAGAGCTACCTCGTGTTCACAGGAGAACCTTATTTTGCTGTTATATATTCTGTTTGGTGCTCAGGTGTCATGGCGATTACTGCACTAGAAATACTAATCTGTGCAACAACCTTTGCACACAGAGAGAAGGAATTCTGTAATGGCATCACAGTTCGGCCTTTGTCCTGAAAAATTTGCAGTCACGGACTAGAAATGTTTCTGTAAGGAGGCAGAAACATCTCTCTCTTTCTACAATGGTAAAACCAGGGATAGCAGAACAAGCGTCCGGTCAGCGTTCCATAATGTAAAGTTCCTGTTTGTCAAATACTGAGACCTTGGCATAATGCCCCCTGAGTCAGGACCATTCCTGAAATATGTCACCACTTCAGTGCTACATGCTGTTGACTGCCTCTCTTTCCAGCTGCAAACGCATGGGCTGCTATTCTCATATCCGTTAGCTCTGATATAACCTTGTCCATTTTTGATGAAGGTAAAAAAAATCGTAGCCCTGTACAGTCACTCAAGATCAGTCCAGCTATTGCAAATGTCAGGTTCTGTCAGCGGGACGCCAAGCGGTGTCAAACCGTATTTGAATCCTGTGCTCAAAAAAAAAAAAAGCAGAAAAGCCTCTGATGAGAAGAACTTACTTCTTTTAGGCTGTGTAATGGAAACTACTTACGTGATGCAAGGACAGGGCCATGTTTGGGTAGGATATTAAGAACTTTTTCATTTTTTTGTTTCAAGTGCATATCTTACTCTTTAGAAGAAAGGTGTTCTTGGAAGATGTTGGATTACCTACAGAGTCTTGGGCTACAACTCAAACTGCTCTGCTCAGCTATGGCTTTTCTCCATGGTTTATAAAACTCAATATATATGACAAAAATAGACACAACTGGAAGTAAATGAGTAGGAAGCAAATGTATTTGACCTCCACGTATGCCAACTAAAAGCTGACTCTGAAGTGATGATGCTATGGGAGATGTGGGACAACCTGATGCAAAGCAGACCTGAGTAGACCGGTAAAATACCAGCTTATATGATACTCCCCCGGTGATGTATAGCATTTTAGAACATTTTCTATCTGTAAACTTAAAAAAGATGTATAAACCCAGATCCTCATTTCCCCAGTGAAGTGCAGAGTATTAAATTACTTGCCAGGGAACACAGAGCAGGTTAATGGCGAAGCTATTGATCCAAGTCTTTCCTTGATTCCATCCATTGGATTACAGAGCTGTTTCTCAGACTTTCCTTTTGGATCCTTATTTGGTTGGAACCTCTGCTCCTTCAAATATATTTCACCTTACAAATTGGCACAAAGCTATATGCACAGATTGACATAAGCATAATCAAGACCAAAACTTACACAACCATCAGTTTTGCATGGTGAATACACCATATGGATTATCAAACTTATGCTATTAAAAAAAACACATTATTGCATCCTAAACACATTTAGCAAACTAAAATTGGATTATCAGTGAATTTTGTCGAAAATAAATCCCCAGTGATAGGCAGGAAGTTTCAAGCTCTAGCATCATAGGAGTAATATTTCTTGAGCCCTAGCATCCTAGGGGTAATATTTCATGAGCCAAGACAGCAGAATTAGAAAGAATGCTGCACTAAGGAGGAAGACGGGCTTCAACCCAAACTCTATGAGGCCAGTGGTAATGCTGTTATTGATGTTACTGGGCTAGACTTTCAACTTTTGAAAAGCTTGGAAGAAGAAAGGCAAACGGGAGAGGAGAGAGACAGCCCCAGCTGGGACTGATCTGGTCTGAATAGCTCGGTTGGGCACAGGGTAACTACAGACAGGGATGTACAACCTCTGCCAAGTTGAAACTTGGGGGCAGTTTCTAGAAAAGCAGAACTCCCTTGCCTTAGACTGTACATGTGAACTGAGAGATGATAGCCCTTACTACAGCCTTGAAAATTGCAGAGTTTGGAGGAAAAAGCTCTACAGCACCATAAGGGCAAAATCAGACAGCTTAGAGGTAAAGCCACATTCTGCTCTTCCTCAGTATACATCACTACAGCAAAAAGCAGGGGGCTACCCTTAACTAGGCAGATGTGGAAAAGCTAAACCGAGGAACAAGCCCTCATTTTGAGGTGACCTGTAGGTCAGGTTTCAAACTGAACCATTTTAAGATTTAAAAATAGAGGTTGTCCTATCGATAGACTGAGCCACCTCTTCACCTGGTGTCCATTAATGGCTCAGTGGAGTGAGGGAGCTGGAGGGCTCTCCCTCCACCTTTCATTCACCTTTATCAGTCAGGAGAAGAAAAGGGAAGGACAGTCCTATACACAGTTCATGTACGTAATTCGAGTTGCACGTATTTTTGTTTTGGAAACAGTAAGCAGTAAGTAATAAAAATCTATCCTAAACTAGAGCTGGGCAAATAACATTTTTAATGGCTTAGACCCCATATGTCAGCATCGAAAGCTCACAGGCTGAAATAGTCTTCGGTCTAACTGATGCTTTCAATTATTGTAATGACTGCCATTTTTTGTTTTCACTCCTTGGACCAACTGCAATTGTTCTAAATTTCAGCTTTGCCATTCAATTATCACATGAGCCACACCAAAATCTTCTAGTTTCCTGCTCTGATGGGATCTGCACATTTGCAATTCTGCTTCCCAATGCACTTGTGTACGCAGCTTCGAAACCCTCTCTGCCAGTAAAACAGAGTTATTTAATTGTTCCAAGAAAACGAACACAAAGGGGACATAAAAAGATCATGCTGAGTTTATTTAAGATTTGGATAAACGTCCATGGAACGCTCCTGACGTTATTTTCCCAGGTCTTTTTAACACTGTGGTGGTGCAGTGTTTCGGATATGTGGTCCCAAAGCTAACCAGGCTTACTCAGCACCTTCCTCCAGGACGGGATCGCGGACAGGTTGTATAACCCAAGTGTGTTGCACCCACTCACTCACTGTAAACTCAGACCCTGTGAAACTTCCTGGAGAGTGAAGAATTAAAGGAGAAAATTGTTCAAAGCATTACAATGTGCAATTTCAATGCGAGGCATAATGGAAGTAGCTGTGTGGGAGGGTATTACTTCATTATAAACCTAAATCAGATGCCCAAAGACTTCTGTCATCTCCAGAGACCGTTCCATCAGGCTCTACAAGAGGTTTTCCAGTGGAAGAAAAATAGCACCCCCTCCCTTCGGGCTTGAGAAAGTTGTATGGCTTTTTTAACAGTTTCTAATGAAATCCCATATTATTGCTTCTCCCCTGGGAGACTTCAAAAGTCGTGCAAACTTCACAGAGCCCACATGTTCGTAAACCCCAAGCAAAAGACCAGTAAGGAAATAAATTGCAGTTCTCCAATTAGCATTTGACAGCCTCTACTGTTTTTTTGGTGGGGTGAATTTGTCTTTCTTCTAAACCATGCTGATAAATGAAATGAGTTACTAAACCTGGCATTATTTCACGTTTGAAGGCACACTGAAATCAAACACTCCAACTCACAGTGGGATTTGCTTTCTGCATAATATTTGGGGGGGAAATATGAAACAAACCCAGCAGTTTCAAACATGTTAAAGGGGCTAATGTGTACACGAATATTTTCTTCAAGCTCCTTATTGTGTATTCACAGCTACTGCCAAACACAGCAACGGAGACGGGGCATGAGGATATGAAATGGGAAGTGGTCAAATTTTCAAAGCGAGCTGCCGGGTGCCGAACACTTTTGAAAATCTGGCCCCTGACTCTTTGGTGCCGTTCCAGAAAGAAATATCTCTATGCTGGCAGTCAGCCAACTGGCTTTGGAAATCCTTTTGCACAGTTATGGCAGTAAAGCATAAAAGCCGATCCCCAGCTTTCTCTGCCTGATTAAGCACTGTCACCAATCACTGTGCAGCTCTAAGGTACGCATGAAATATTCCTAGATAAATCCTCCATCTCCAGAGAAATGTCTTTCCTGTACAACTGTAAATCCAGGTTCTGTGTTGAAACTAATCCAGTCTGGCAGTGCTGTGGCCCTAGAAAAGTTTCCTTGGAAACGACAAACTTATGCAACGGCAAAGTCATCCAATCTTTTCATGCCACTACATTATATTAAAAACACCTGGTTTATTTATACAATGACTTACAGATCAGGGTCCTAGAAATAATAATACATAAACTTTATAGCAAAAAATATACATATAATAATTCATCCTTCTATGATATATAGAAATGATGTATATTTGTGTGTGTGGACATATATATAAATATATGGGTTGTACTTACGTTTAGGGCACTTGTGTATAGATATGTGTATCTACGTACACACAGTACACATTTGTGTATCTTTCCAGGTGCCTTGTGTGTATACATAAACACACATAAATACACACACAGGAGCATATTTACACTCTGTGAGTAGACGTGTACTTTGCAGAATTTGCACACAAAGCTCTGGAGTCCTTCACTGGCTGTGAGCACCGCAGGGGTCAGCAACGCCCACGCTAGTGTCCGTGGAAAGAGAACGGATGTCATCGCTGTGGGCACAGGACTGGCTTGATGCATCTTCCTTTGTGAAGGACTAAATTTGCCGGACAGTGGCACCCTGCAACGCAGGGCTTGTTGCATGGGCCGATCTCGTTCCAGTTGTCACAAGTTTTGACACATCCTGGGCCACAGGTATCATAAACTGCACCGTGTTTACACTGGGTTGCTGAAAGGCAGTTAAAAGGAACAAAATATGCACATTACGCAGAGTCCCACAAGGAAAGTTACATATCTGTGTGCTTGGTTTCTCCTGCAAATAACCCAAAAGCACGTTTTGGTATGATGACCATCTAGAGGAAAAACAATACTTACAAAGAGATTTCACTGGATTAAATGCAACACTATTTTACATCACAAACACAAAGGTAGCAAAATTCCTAACCAAAACGGTATCAAGTTCCTAGCAGCCTTGAACTTTTGGAGAATTTTGACACAGCTGACGGCATATAAAGCTTTGGCAAGGTTTCTATCTATAAGCAGATCTGTGCTTTACGTTTAAGGCTTAACATTGTTTATTCATTTGTTACAATGCCTTTTATCAAAGATTTCTGAAACGTTTCTAAGGACAGACAGTTATTATCAGTCCCAATGCTCTGGAAAGAAGAGAAAGGAGAGTCATTCACCACGTCAGACTTTCTGTTCCTAAGATTATACCTCCAGTATTGCGTATTGCAGCAAATAAAAACAATGCTGTTAACTCAACAGCACCATTTCTAAAAGAAATAAATAATAAAAAAACCCCAATTATTTCCATGCTTTTTGCTGTTTTACCAAGAGATCACTGAGAATGAGGATCCTTGCACTTAATGATTCCAGTATCTATTCATTGATTTATGTAGTTGACAGCTCAATGCATTTCCAACCTAAGAGACCACTGAGGGCTCAGCTAAAAGCACTATACCCCCTTCAGATCAATATTTAAACTCTTTAACATTTTATATCCTGCCTTTTTAGTATGGAGAATAATACATGGTTCGATAGCAAATAAAAGCCTGTTATTCTTTCTAACGGCTGTGCTGATGGCAAAAACAAGTACTGATAAAATAGTTTATAGATGGTAAGGGACTCCCAAGCATCCAGAATCATCTCTTGCTATTCACAAAGAGGTGGTTGCATTAAGGAGGTTTCTTCCATTTTCAGAGAGATTGAAGGTCGAGATTTTTTTAAAGAACAGTGCTGTTATGGACAGAAAAATGCTGTTTTGTTGTGAGGATTGGCCTTAGAGTGCCACTACAGTACTGTTGATTAAATATTTATCAGAGTATATCACAGAGGATGGAAATCTTAATGCTAAGGCATCAGAAATGTAAGGGGTTCCATCAGCTTCTTTCAATGCATTTTATGGCATTTATATGTCCATGAAAAGCAGCCCTGAAGGAGGAGTTCTGGCAAGAATGCCTACAAAGTTCTCAGGACACAGACATTAAATAAGCAAGCAAAAAATTGGAAAAATTGGATAGTGTAGCAGAAAGTAACCCTGGAGTTACAGAGAATCAACAGCTGAATATTAGATAGATATCAGAAAAACAAAAGCTTTCTAGCTTTAAGCATGAGAAAACACCGGAGCAAGCTACCTAAAAACTCGGAGAGACATCTTTCATTGAACATCATTTTAAAACAGGTTGCAAAAAACATCTTTCACAAATGTTCAAGATAGGCTTATTCTGCCTGCGGGCATAGATCTTTTGAGAACTTTTTCCCAGCTTTGCATTTCTGTCTTACTCTGCACGATAACTTTCATGCACGTTGAAGAAGGGACTAAACAAAAGGAATAACTAAAATGAAATTTAAATGAAATGGAAAATTTAGAAGGTGGGAAAAATATGCAAGAAAAATTGAGCACACAGTGAATGTTACATTCACCACAAACTCTGGACTTACACAATGTTATAAGAATAGAGATTGAATCTCGGTAAGAGAGGAAACAAAAATGTGCAGAGCTCCCAGGAACTTTGCAAACAATATATTAACTGTCTAGGAAAGTAGACCAAGATGTTCAAAGACTGATACTGATAGATAATTCACACACAACGTGGATTATCTTAAGGAGGCTCTTTACTAGAAGCTTTTGTTTCTCCTCTCTGAAAATGAGTTTCCCTTCAAAGGATCTCTAATTGACCAACACAACCTGAAACATTAGGCTTCAGTAGATGCAGTTTCCATCTAGAAAGGTCTGCGAGCTTCAGTTTTAACAGGTTTCATCCCACAAAGCTTTACTGCAGTAACAGCCGGCCTGTTCGTTCCACCTGAGCTCTGTTTGGTGCCTCAGCTGGTGGGTTTTAGGAAAGTTGGCCGAGGTCTCCTTTCCACTTCCTCATCTCTGCCCCAGAGCAAATGAGAATATATTCCAGGCTGCCCTTGGCAGCCGTGGCATCTGTAAGGACTCCCCGGCTCTGCTCTACCACACAGGGATGTGGGATGTCAAAACATCTCCTTCTCCTTTGGATGACACCATGTAGAAGAAATGATGACTTTATTTTCTGCTGTAGGCAGTCCATAATGGCATTGTTAACTTGCTGTCAAGGGAAAAATCAGAAAAGCCCAATGGCTGCTAAGTTCCTCGGATGGCTTTTATTGTTGAGTGCTTCACTTGTTAACATGTGGTGTGATTGATCCAGAACATTCCACTTCATCAACAGTTTAAAAAATAAAAATGAAGACATTCTGTAGTAGGCTTCCCAGGGACTGCTGAAATGAATCAGTACCGTGTAAACATGGAAAACAGAGCTGATGCCTTTGCACCCATCTTTTGAGGCAAATTCCTCTCTTAAAGAACTGAGCTCTGTTAGTAATAACTTCCTTAGTGCACTAGCAAAAAAAATCAAAAACCCAAGCCCAAAGTACAAAAGTTACTAATAATACTGCCTTTTGCAACGTTACCAGTCCCAACAGGATTTTTCCACTCTTCTTCTAGAACATGTGTTTGGCATGAGAGATGTGAGCTTCCTCAGACCGCTTTCTGAGCCGGCGGGATGATGGCCAGCTCGAGTCCAGAAGCCATATAGTCACATAAATACAGCACTGTGCCTGAGCTAATAAACCCTGCCTAATAAGGCTACACGGTTTTCAGACCAGAGCTGGTTTATTCCAGCCAGTTTGGCAATTTCACAGAGAAGGGTTGTATCTGTCTGTGCCTGCCTTTGTAGTCATGGCCGTAATTATTTAGCAGGAATTCTTGTTCCCCAACGCAGAAGTCAAAATACTTATCATGGAACTGCTGAAGGATTCCCTTGGTGGATGATACCTGGTAAATCTGATTCCACAGAAATTTCTGAGCTAGTATTTCTGCATCAATGAACAGTTCCTGCTGCTTCTCTCGGTGTTGCACAGTGTGGGCTCTCGAGGTGTTTTGTAGGACTTTCAAACTGAATGTCTCTCATGGTGCTTGCAATTCACAACATCTCTTTCTAACACAGTAGAAGGCAATAGATCTGGGCACTGACCTTCTAATGATATCCTTGTGTTAATCTTTTCAGCTTTCAGTTTTTAATGAGTTTCCACTGAAAAATCGGAATAGCCTTCTGATACATATTCACATGGAATAAAGCCAATAAAGTAACGCAGCAAATAACAGGGAAAAAGAGTGACTTTGGGCAGAAAATTCCACAGCAGAGAAGAGGGGACCCACGAGAGAAGAGTCAAAATCAGATATACACTCATCCTCCTCTAGTTCAACTGATCACATAGGAAAAAGAGAAAATTGTTGAGTTTTTATGAGGCTGTTGGGGCATGTCAGCACTTCGGTGCTACCACGTGCACTTCGCACTTTATTAAAAGTCCATATCTGCTTTTTCTTCCTGCCTGTGTAGTCATGCCCATGGCAGGGAGTTATTGCCATCTGCCATCCTTAAGTCGTCTTTCTCTCAGCACTCGCAGAAATTCAATGTTAAATTACTATGGCCCAAGGCCTTTCACCACTTCAGCTTACTTAATTGCACTTTATAGTATAAACTCGTTGCTTAGCCTTTCTTGGGCTAAAAAAAATCTTTTTTTCTATCTCCTTTCCTTTTCAAACCTCTTCCTTCCATTTGTGTCCTTTTTTTTCTCTCTCTCATGTATCACTTGCTCTTATTTCTTCTTTCCCTCATCTTGGCTCTCCTGTTCTTTTTTCCTTCTCCTTCACACACCGTATTTCTTCCTGTGCCCATCCTAACAGGTCTCACTGCCCACCGCTTCCCATGGAAACCTATATTCCTTTCCAAAGCCTCTCAATTCCCATGCAAATCTCACCAACTCCTTCCTACCCTAACAGTTTTCCTTGCTCATTAGCTTCTTCTCGTCACCCCTCTGGTTAAATGTCAGCAGTATTTTGTGGGGGACTTAGAGGAGGATACGCTGCCGTGCTGGGAAAGGAGGAAGAGCATGTAGGGAAGAGGATGTGTAATTCAGCCTCCTGAGCATCCTCTTTGGCTGGCCCTCCAGACAACACAAGCTTTCTAAAGATTAGAGAAATGAGCTAAGCATACGGCAGTCAGGGTAGAGGAACTGGCAACCACACAAGATCTGGTTTTATAACACACAAAAGAATAATTAAAACCTGACTTTACTAATAAGTATACTCCGTTTTCATCAGAACACAGCTCTTCCAAGTATCCCACCAGCTATGAAATGTCAAGCAGGAAATGAAAGTCACAGAACGCTCAAGTTTTATTACGGATATATTGTTTCATATCCAGGAACTTTTATCTGTAATTAGGACACAGTAACTGTAACTACAAGTTTTGGGGAGAAAAAAAGTAAGTTAAAGATTAAAATCTTGATACTGGCCACTGTTAACATATGGAGTGCAATGGGTGCACTTTAACTTAGTGCCTACTGTGAGATTTATTGTAGAAGATGGTGCTACTTGTTTGACATTGGATGCTTAAGTAAGTGTTTTGAGGGTGCTTGACTATATACAGCTTATCTATATTTTCTGCTTAAAAAGATTTCCCCTTTCCCTCGAGAAGTCAGCACTGAGATTAAAAAACTCAGGTAGATTTAAATGCTTCTTTCATTAGCTTTAATGGAAGATGTGAGTTTAAATTCCTTCATAATGTTCTCTCAAGAACTGTTTTTGCCTTAGAAACTTTTCTTGTCTTTGGTAAAATGCCAGAAAAAATTGTGAAAAGAAGCCTCAATTAGTTAAGTCGTGATATGCCAACACTTGTATAAACTCCTTAAGGCAGGGACTGGAGTTTTTATTCTTTTTACAGCATCTGCCACAGCGAGGTCTCAGTCTGAAGTGCTTTGGTCAAAAAAAAAAAAAAAAGAGTCAGGATGCTTGTTTCAGGTTCTGCATGGAACTGCTACCAGATCAATAGATTAAAATTACATACGTTCTTAGTGCTGTCTGAGACCACATCCTTGAATAGGGCTTTCACTTAGTGACACCCTGTTTGCATTGTTCTATTCCTTTGTAAGAAAAAAAATGAGCCTTTTAGGAATAGTCAATCAAAAGTAATTTGCTCTGTCACTCACCCATCCCTGCTATCGTGCCTTCCACAGGAAGGGAAACTGAAGTTGAGAGAGTAGACCCTGAGCCACACACAATCACCAAAATGGACCACAGAGTAATAGCTCTTTGACCAGCACTGAGTATCCTATATTATTTTTTTCCAACTACTGTCATAAATCTGATTACATTTCCAGGCAAACCGATGCCATTATAGAATGTCCTAAATTAATGAAAGCATCATCAGGGGAAATACTCATCTGCAATATTGCATTTTATCTCAAGTGCCCATGACCACAGGCCACCACTTCTCATGGAAACAATTACTCACAATTACTTGCAATTAATGCAGTCTTAATCACATGGGGAATCTGGTCCAAGTACCAAAATTAATGCAGGTTTGCATTTTAATATTCCCATTAAATACATTCTCTCTCCTTCCCTTGTTGAACCTACTGCAATCATATATGCATGTTGTCTCTGGAAATATAACTGTGCTTTAACAGGAGGTCAAAGGAGTTTAAACATTATCTGTCATCGAATGTTTACACATTCTGAAAGAAAAAGGCATGTACTGCTTCCTGGAAGTACATAAAATCAAGACAGCTGGCATTACAGGTGAAAAGTTTTGCAATGAAATAAACATTTCTAATATTTGATGGTCAAAAACCTTTCCTGGTGAGGTTTTTCTCCATAACTCAGAATGCAACCTCACTGCTGGTGCAATCCCAGTCCTTTCTAACCAGTTCTTTTTTTTATCCTCCATTTTTGATCAGTAAAAAGATAGTAGCCTATTAACCTATGCAGTGGCTTACAAAGAAGCGGTCCCAAAACACTTACCTGCACAGTTCTGCTCCGGTACCCACTGGACTTTCAGCCCTTCCCTCTGACAGGCTCGGGCATAGGCCAGGAACGACTCGCAGAAGCAGTTTTTATGGGCCGGGCACTCACACATGTCTGTCACGCAGGACCTGCAGAACAAAACCCCGAAAAAGATAAGCAAGGGAAGATTTGGCAGATATCTCTCCAAGGTTTGGAGTCGCCTACTTTCCAGTCGTGTGGACCATTAAACGCATCTCTGCCACCAAATCCCAAGGGCTTATCTATTTTTTTTTCTTTAGATGTGCTTCTCTGCTGCAGAGAAGGCTCAGGAGCACCACGGAGAGGACCACAGGGAAGCAGGGAGGTGAGAAGACCTCACAAATGTCAGGCAGAGAGGACCGAGACCACAGCGGGAGAAGGCAAACTCTGGTTTTGCAATGATTTTGTGTCAACACAAGATAAAGGTTTCTTTCTTGTTCCCTGGAAAGTAAGAATTTAATAATATTATCAACAATAATAGCAGCGGTGTTAAATGGATGACTTCTGCAACTAATGAGCACATGTCCTTCCATGCAATGGATGAGAAACGGTGCCTTCTCTCTGGGTTACCTCCAGCCTCTCCCTGTTTTGAAGGCCCCGAAGCAGCTATATCCCTGTTTTCTCAGCAGCATCACTACTAAATGCCAGACTTTAAGAGACTCCAAGGGAGCAGGGGTGATGCCACGTAACAGAGCAGTTCTCGTGCTGGGAGATCCTCCAGGCACTCATTAATGCCACCGTCTTCTTCCATCACATAAGACGGAACTACCACCAAACACGGCAGGGAGCAAAGCTGCTAACATGGCCCTGAGTGAAACTGCTACTGCATATGTCACCCCTATACGTCAAGTTAGATCATCTGGAACGCGTGCCCATTTGGCACAGACCAAAAATACAACGGGTGGGATTTGCCGTCGGCAGTTCCTGCGTACGTAAAATGCTTCAACGCTTCTGCAAATGCAGCAGTGCAAATTCAGAAATTTGCAGAGCGTCTGCTGCTCTGAGGGAAATGGGTAGAAGGCAGGGACTTGGTGTGGGGAAGTCCTACTCAGTCCTTTGAAAATCAAAGTTCCTCTGCTTTCCGTGGAGGGTGCTCTGTGCATGCACCTTAGGTGCCAACGGGCAAGACCCTGTGCACGTTCAGCAACTTCTCCGTTCCTGAGACGACAGGGCAATGTCTGTGAAAGGCACAAAGCCTCCAGAAGCACCAAGGGCTGAAGTAGAAAATGATCTCTCCTTGTTAATTGCTCTTGCTGTGGACCAAAATTCAGTTGTCTTTAGGAAAAGGATGGATACAGGCATAATTTTCTGGAAACTTTCCCTATAGCTGAATAGCAAACAGCTTGGAAAAGGTGCAAGCACCTCAGTCAAGGTAATTGGGAGCCTTAATGCCCATACAATGCTTTAGAGTCATTGGGAACCCTTTATTCAAAACTAGGAAAGAGGATTAGTGGCCCTTCAAACACAGACAAACTTGTTTCTGCGTATTCAACCAGTGTCCCTTAAAGAGGGAGTACTTCCCCTTGCCAAAGTCCCTGGCTATTTCAGTGACCATTCATATGGTTAAAACTGACAGTTCTGCTTGACATTTGCATGAGCTTTCAGTCATTTTTCCTCTCAGTGGAGCCCCAGCATGAAATTACCTAAAAATGCACTGTGACAAATAAGCAACATAAGTGCTAATGTAAAAAGGTTTTACCTGTCCTGCATTTACCAATGTATACGTAACGTGGATAAAAAGAATTGCTTTGGATCAAATACATAACGTGTTCGTATTTACGGATCAGAGGTTTGCATTTGAAATAACTTTACTTTCTAGGGACAATGTAGTTTTATTTCGCTGTAGTTCTGCAGTAGGTCCCCTAACATCTTTCCCAGTAGCAGATGTTGCCGTACGGGTATCACAGCTGATAGGACGCGAGGAACAGAGCAGCACAACATCCTTGGCATCGTTAGCTGATAACAGACCTCGTATAAGCACAAAGGATCCCCTTTTTATGTTGCACATTAAATAACTTTACATGGTTTCCTTTGGCCACAACATGCCTGCGAGCTCTTGCAAGCATCCTTGCAGCAGGCACCGCTCCGTATACCCCGCGCCACTTCGGCGGCGGATGTCTCATTTTACAGCGAAGGAGATGCTTGTTTGCTACTGCAGCCAACTATTATCACCAGGAGATAACAGTCTGTAATAATCTCCACAGATAGAGTCCATTATCAAGACACCATTTCATCATCTTTTTGCTTCTGTGCTGGCCTCCTTCATCGATCCCATTTGACGGCTCTCCACCAAGATTTACTTATATTAACACCTACGGTGTTTAGGGATGCTTGCCAGCGCCAGGTTGGCGACGCGTTCACTGACTTCTCCTGCCTTAGAAATGATAAAATCCTACACCTGCAGTACTTCCTCCACTTTTGAGAACATAAATACCTTTTTTTTACCATGACTCTGAGGGGAACGCCACCTCCTGCACTGAGAGAAATCGTATAGAGATGGTCGGTGCGGAGAGTTCAGCCTCTACGTGCATGCGAGTGACGCGACGCCGTTAGCCCTCAGCGTTGAGATGGCCTTGGACATCCAAGCAGGCTCCAGAGTGAAACATCTCCACTTTGGCTGGGATCAGCACGGGTGTGCAGTGAGGAAGGCAGCACGCCACGTGTAACACAAACAGTCCCCTGAATCATTACACACCTAATCGCTCGTGTAATTTTTATTTTCCCAAAGTGTTTATTTGTGGTGCTAGCTGCTGGACTCAAGCCCTAGGCTTGGCTGAGGAGCAATCATCAGACTGCGTCTGTTTTATTAATGAATTCCAATTGCTAATTATTTGCAAGGTTAAATTAATTAATTAACTAAGTTTAAATGGAAAATGAGAGTCAAGGAAACTATATCCATAGCTGCCAAGCCTAGTCAATCAAAATAAAACCTTCTTTTTTCTTCCTAATGAAATTTCTTGCTGGCAAGTGTGATGCATTAGTAGTAATTGTAGTTGGATGGATTGGTAGTCGGGGGAGAGGGGTCTTTTTATATCACTTCTGAAATCAGGAGGGAGCAGGTACGTGGTTGGTTTGACGGCCACCGCGAGAGTCAAAGGGCAGTTCTGGGAAAGGATGCAGAAGCAAAAGATGCCTGTCCTCCGGGGGCTGGCAAGTGAGGGGGAGCTGGCATTGGCCCATGGGCAAGCTTTGACTTTGGGTCTGTGTTTTTTTCAAAATGTGTTTGCTTCCCACATTTAATTACATTATCTCACAGCTATTGTTGTTACAGTTGCATTAGAGGGCTGTTACAGGATGCTTCCCTAGGTAAATTTAAAAACTGGCTCGTGTGCTGTCCTAATCCTTTCCCCTTGCAAAAATCTTTGGTATGCCCATAGTTTTTTTTTTTCCTACCCTCTCCAGTGATCGATACATTTAAAAAATTATTCTCAGCTACCCCGGATTCCGCCTCCTCTTCATTCCTCCTTTGAATCTGATAAATAGATTCGGTGACAGCAAGTGCATGTATGCAGAGGCTTATCTATCCTCTGATCCGACTGGACTGTTCAAACAACAGACAAATACACTTTTAGTAAAACTTGGGAACTATGCCAATAATGAAGCCCTACTGACAAGTTACCATACTGCACAGAACAGAGACTTTGGGTCTTCCAAGGTATTGTGACTCTTTACCAAGACCAAAACGAAGCAAAATTGAGAATGCGTATCAGAAGTTTAAACATCAAAACATTACAGTCATATAGAAATAATCCCATCGGAAGGCTGCAGTGCAAGTTACTTGTAAAATGAAGCCATTTCACCAGCTATGGAAATACACAGAAGATACTTCAAGCAGCCTTAGCTCTGCCCTCAGAGAAATCGTATAGAGAGGGTCCAAGAGAAAATTACAGAATCACAGAACTACAGAATGTCAGGGATTGGAAGGGACCTCAAAGGATCATCTAGTCCAATCCCCCTGCCGGAGCAGGACCACCTAGATCAGATCACACAAGAACGCGTCCAGGTGGTTTTTGAACATCTCCAGAGAAGGAGATTCCACAACCTCTCTGGGCAGCCTGTTCCAGTGTTCTGTTAGCCTTACTGGGAAGAAGTTCTTCCTCATGTTTAAGCGGAACCTCCTATGTTCCAGCTTATATATCCACCCCCTTGTCTTACCATTGGATGCCAGTGAGAAGAGCCTGGCTCCATCCTCATGACAGTCACCCTTTCCATATTTATAAACATTAATGAGGTCCCCCCTCAGTCTCCTCTTCTCCAAGCTAAAGAGACCCAGCTCCCTCAGCCTTTCCTCATAAGGGAGATGCTCCACTCCCTCCATCATCTTTGTGGCCCTGCGCTGGACTCTCTCAAGCAGTTCCTTGTCCTTCTTGAACTGAGGGGCCCAGAACTGGACAATGAAATTACATTTCATTTAAGGATGTTATTTACACTTCCAAAAAATATTTGGCTGCGATGGTGCACCTTGTCTGGAGTCGCTGCTCTGCACAAGCGCGGGAGCACAGCCAACCTCTCAGTCCTCCGCGGGTACCAAGTGCCTCCCTGTGACTCCGACTGATGCTGCCTGCAGGGTGTGTGTCCGAGATGCCGCTAATTGGGGGTGTGTAATCACAAACCGTTGCAAGGGGAAATCCATGGAAGCGAAGGCATCCGGCAGCTGCGGGACACACCCTGGAAGGAGGCAAACACACACACACACTCCACTGCCACATCTTCAAAGCGAACTGGCTGAGGATGTTCCTTCGGCAACAGCCCTTTTTCACATTAAACCGTGGAAAGTCTCCAAGTCCCACAAAGGGCAAAGAACCGCGTCCCGCGCTACATGCGCTATTAAAAAAGAAGGAGAAGAAAAGATCACAGCAACAGAGCCTACAGCCTTAGTCTGTGCCACACGGGATTGGAACTGCAGATGTTCACTTGCTGAGCAGCAGCAGCTCCTTTTCCTTTGCACTACACGCAAAGCCAAAACCAGAACCAGCCGTTTTAGGAGGAACAATTATTTCTCTTTGCCTTTTTTTTTTTCTTTTCTTTCCCCCTGCATTTCACAACAGGAGTGTGACGCAGTGCATTTTTCAGACCTTTTGGTACCTTCAAGAAGTGGCTCTCGGCAGAT